TCAGTAAAAACGAACATTATAACCTTATGAACAATTTATTAAAGTGGTTTTGGTTAAGCTTGGTGCTCTTATTAGACTGACAACTGGTGGTCTGAGTGTTAAAATCTTTAAGATGTGAAATCCAACAAAAAGACACAATCACTGTTCAAAATGCAGTCTGTAATGTGCATTTTGGGCTTTTGGGATCATTTAACCAAAACAAAACTAGTCCGCTGTGTAGGACAGAACAGAAGCCGAGAGCCTAAAATAACAATATAGCAGAACAGACATGAAGCAAATCAACACACACAATATATATACACACATATACAGAGGGAACAGGTGGTGTGACCGCAGTAACTTCCCCTCCGCCAGTAAAATCTGAATGACAATACAGCGCAGTTCCCTCCTATTCAAACACTGCGGTGAGAAAAACACAATGCAGAAAACGAGAGGAGCAACAGAGAACCAGAGAGGCGGAGAGAGAGTTTAAATCCTCACCAAAGTCGTTCAAGAAAAACGCTGCTGCTGCTCCTGTTGTTTACACTTTTCTGGGTGTTTTTCGGCGCGATTTGATGACGTAAATCGGCTCAGAAAGTGCGGGGTTTTTTGGTAGTTGTAGTTTTCTACACTTTCTGGTCATGAAACGTCCTCTCAGTTTCCCCACGGTTGTTGAAACTCTTAAAGGTTTTATTTATTTATTTATTTATTGAGAAAACACCAGCTGGACGAGGGATGAGCTATAATTAGTGGTGAACAAGGGGAACAACACTTTGCTGCAACTTTGTCCAAATTAGCAAGCAAGGAGGAGGGTACCAGCATGCTAGGCTAATTAAATATTTCAACTAGGCTTAATTGTTAAATACCAGTTTTAAAAAAGCAAAAGACTTCTTACCAACGTGGTTTTAGACTGAGGAATTGCAATTCAAGTCATATTTCACAGACATACATTTTTAACATGTATTTAAACCTATGAATTAAATTATCTTTTTGTTAATAAAGGTGGTAGCAGCACTGATGAAGTCTTGCTTGACCTTAATATCAGGTTAAAAGCTGAGTTTTAGTCCCTACAGGGAAAGATGTGTCAGACCACAGTGAGGGAAAATATTTCACCATTAGATCACTGATTCAAAAGAAAGTTTGATATCTAAGTTAAACATTTAAGGTTTATGGTAAACCATCGTCATTGGGAACTGTGCATAGTCTGGCTTGGAAAAGTAAGATATAGCCTACAAAGCAGACGTCTTATTCTTTTTCCTCTGCCTTCCTTCATTCACCTTCAAGCTTTTTTATTGCTGGATTACAAAGATTAGTGTGTGAATGCAGGTTTTTTTTAATTAATTAATTTGTATCATGTCTTTATACAGTTATGGTCTACTACATGAATTTAGATTTAGAAACAGACACATTAAAGACAGATATCTGGCTGCCATTTCAGAGGACTGAGCAAAAAAAAGAAAGACAAAGGTAGAAAAATCTTTCTATTGTTCCCTCTCAGATCCTGTTTTAAAACGTCGGCCAGCAACATCACCCACCGGCCGCCAACTGGAGGACCAGCGCAGCACAGCACCACCCAGAGGCCTGGTACAGACCGACAGCCCAAACTTCCTCTGCAGTGGCCTGCCGCAGCACTGGAGGTGTAACAAGACCCTGCCGAGAACCTTCACTGTGAGCATCTATCTATCTATCTATCTCCCATCTCTCATTGAGACTGGCTTCAGTTTATAATGTCAAAGGTCATCAGAGGTCAGTGGGACATTTTGCCCTGATCCTTCCAGGCTGACCATTTTCCTCAGACTCTTTACAAATCCCCTTTTTCAAAGTTAAAGGACCAGTCCTGACTTTTTTCCATCCTCCAGGTTGTCGCCCTAGGCAATGACGTGCCAGACGGCGTTGCTGTCACAGTGATGGCTGGCAATGAAGAAAATAGCAGCGCTGAGCTACGCAACGCCACAGCAACCATGAAGCAAGGCTACGCCCACTTTAATGACCTCCGCTTCATAGGTCGCAGCGGGAGAGGTAAATAGACAGATACACTACTGATACAATAATTAAATACATAAACAGAGTATCAGAAGCTTGTGATGGGGCGCTGCAAAGTGGCCGGTTATGAGGTTCGAGTCACACTGGAGGGTCAACACATTGAAGAAAAACAGTAGCTACCCCATTGATTTTGACCTTTTGTAATTGAAATGTCTTCCCTCACACATAAATTAGGCATTTTGTCTTGATCTTCTCTCCAATATGGTGGGATGTGCCATTAGACGTTTGCCACTTTCTCTTACAACACCTCTAACATGCACTTCCTGTGCTCCTTTTCTTCTGTCTCCTTACAATTATCTAGCATTGATTGCACCATTGTTAACTCTTACTTCTTCCCCTAGGTATTTACCCCATTGATGCACTAATAGCTTTTACTAGTATCTATTGTTGCTCTCAGATCTCTTACTGTACTGATGTTTGTTTGTTGTTCCTCAAATGTAAGTCGCTTTGAATAAAAGCAAATAATTAATGTAAATGTAGAAGGATAAACAGAAGGAAGACAGGAATGCTTGTCCTATTCAATCAGAAATTTATTAGTATCAATCTTGTGACCATCAGTCAAGTTTATTTATATAATCTAAAATTAAAAGTTTCTCCTCCATTGCAGTAAATTTTTTCCAACATTTGACACCCTCTATACTTAGGGAAAACTGACTTGATTTAACTTTAAACAGCCTGTTACACTTACCATAACAAGCCACCCTATGTAATTATATTGTTGTGTGTGTGTGTTATTCTTTTTAGGCAAGAGTTTCACGCTCTCCATCAATGTGCTGACCTCGCCTCCTCAAATCGCCACCTTACACAGAGCCATCAAGGTGACTGTGGACGGACAGCGGCTGCCAAGACGTCAGTGCACACCAGAGAAAATGATAGGATGGGTTTATCCAAGCTTTCAGTCAGAAGTACCATCTTCTTCCCTGTCTCTCTCTCTCTCTCTCTCTCTCAGGGCAGAGGCAGAAGGAGGTGAAGTCAGGAGTGTTCAGGTCATCCTGCAGCGGCACTGCATCATCAGGTATGAGAAGAGGGACGGTATTTAAATCCCGACAAACCATGTCAGTGTGAACTTTCACATACAGGACTGCAAATATGGAACAGTGTGCACATGTGTAGTGTCTCCACAGAAGCATGTTTCAACCTTTATTTTTTTATCAAACAGAGCAGAACACACTATATTTCCAAGTACAAAGAGTGAAATAACAGAAAATACCTCATAAAGTAACTCAAAACTGCACTACAGTAGTTTAATAAATACATACTATGACTGAAGGAAATGGAAAATTGATAATAGCAGCAATTTATTTTAAATAGCAACCAACTAAAGTAGAAAATAATGGAAAACAAATGTGCTCAACAAATAAAATTCAAGGTCCACTTAGCTTTTTGCCTGACCTTTCGACCGCATCTCACGTGTTCAGCTGTTATAACGATGGGTAACAAAGAAATTGGACTAACTCCATCTGCTGAAGACCATTTGATGTAGTTGAAAGCTCTGGAAAAAAACAGCAGTCCTTAAAGTAAGTTCATTTTAGTCAAAGGTCAAGAATGGACTGTCATGCTGTTGATGTTGTCTCTCTCCAGATTGTAGGTCCTTTTCCTCCACCCTGTGGACCAACGATTCTACGTTCCTGGGCCAGGTGAACTCGTTGACTTCCTCCTTCACTCCAAGTCCCAGAATGCACCACCTGCCTGCGCTCTCCTACTCCACCCAGCACACACCCTACAGCTCCTACCTGTCTTCTGCTCCTCCTCCTCCTCCTCCTCCCCCTCCGCTGAGCCACAGTGGTCCGTTCCAGCCGGGCAGCTTCTACTACGGACCGAACCAACAGCTCCAAACAACAGGGGAGGACCGCAATGTTGTCGCAGCACTGACCAATTATATTGAAGGGGCGTGTCTTTCCATAAGAGGGGAAGAGCCTGTCTGGAGACCTTATTGATGATCAAATATTTCACTGTTTTTTGGAAAGTTTTACTTTATTTTCACTCTTGGACTCTCTAAAATAAAAAAAATTAACTTCTCTGTTGTTTGTCAGCAACTGTAACTTCTGTGTACTACGGTGATTATGCTGTTCTTATTTACTGTAATGCATTATGTATTTATTTGATGTTTATTATTATTTAATACTTCTACATATACAATGGGTTAAACAATAAATTAATAATCTTATTAAATTCATGTAGCAGCAGTCAGGATTTCACAAATACTTTGTTGTACAATAGTTGTGTTTATTAAAGCAACAGTGTAAAAAAACATTAACTTCAAAACCTGGATACCCTAAATATAATATCTCATTAACAATTAAACAATTAACCCTAAATCAAACTCCTATTATGACAATATAGAAAGCAAACTGTTGTGTAAAGTAGATTCATATGAGATGTGGTGAAACTATAAAAATGTTGTCAGGAAGATAGGGTTACCTCTACTCTACCTCTGTACTTAAGATTAAAAGGATCCGTGTCACTCAATGAATACACTTTATGTTTTATATAACTGCGGACCACTTTTCAAAGTACCAAATATGGGTTTTCTCCAGGCAGAAACTTTTTTTTAATGAAGTCTGAACTTGCAGAGACTTAAACTTGCTTGAGAAAAGTAATCATCCAGCACAATATGTGTTTACTGAGCTTTATTCATTTATTGCCTAAGTTGCAATATTATCTGATGATAATGGAAGTACAAAATAAACTGTTTTTTTTATGTGTTCTGCTGTTTGCATAAAACAAATAAATTGTGTTTTGTGTAATTGTGGGGCCACGTTTGTACATCAGCTGGGTGAATAAGCTCAGTCTGTGGGGGAGTTAGCTCGGGAACCACACGGTTGCACACTGTTAAAGGTGCCCCTGAGAAAGGCCCTGAACCGCTAACAGCTCCCCGGGCGCTGCGCAAAGGCAGCTCCTTATTAGGAGGTGAAAATGCAGAGGACACATTCTGCATTCATTGCACTGTGTGTAAAATTGTATGCGGCCAAATTAAGTTGATTATGGCGGGATTATGTAGTGAGAGTACTTTGAGTAATGAGTGAAAAGGAGACTACTGTATAATGGATTACATCTTCCCACCACAGCAGCAGTTCAGTGTTGACTGTCCACCTGTAAAGTGCTGAGTTCAGCCACTCTTTTGCTCCACTCTTCTTCTGTCATTTCTTCTTCTTCTCCTTCTTTAACATCCTCCTCTACATGATGCTCTCCTGAAACACAGATGACCATGTTACAAAGATAAAAAGAAAAATATCACCAGCTGCCTAGCAGTGAGGGAAACCTAAACTCTCTAAAATCTAGAAGCAGCCAAATGTATCTACCCAAATTATTACAATATCCAAATTAAAGTCCTCACCGGTGCAGGTCAGAGCGGTGCAGACCCAGTTTCCACAGGCACACACACACTTGTTACACTCCATCTGAGTCTCAGCTCCGTCCTCGAACACTTCATCCTCCAGAGCACACTCTTCATGCACACACATAATATACAGGTAGTAAATGGGCATGTAAGAAAAACAGCAAAAACTGCTAACACAGTCTGAAAGGATTTAGCATTGTTTGTTTGGAGTTTTGTGCTGAAAAATGTGTGTGTAAAAATTAAATTATTGTAAAATTAAATGTATTTGTCAGATTCAGCACGGGATTATATATTTATATATGTATATATTTAATGTCTGTTTACATTTTATTTGGTCCTAGGAAAAAGAAGTCAATATGTCATTTGTCAGGATCAATCATACATACCGATGACACTCTTGTTTGAGTTTGTGTGTGTGTGATTACTTCTCTCATATGGATGGTAGGTGGGTGTCAGGCAGTTGATGAACTCAGTTAAACTCAGCTTCCAGTCTGCGTTTTCATCCGACAGCTCGATCAAAGCGTCGACACACAGAGACCTGAGAGACGGACAGAGAGTGAGTGAGCGACATTAATTAACTACTTAGACACTAAGGATTCATTTACAAAATGAGCACGTTTTTTCAGGAAATCACATTGAAAACAAAATGTGTGGTTCAGACTTTACTTGCAGCTGTGGCAGAAAAGCTGTGTTATGTTTAGGTTTTGTTATGTTGTATTTATTTTCATTAATCCGCACTCATGTGTCTAATCATTTCCTGTGTCTGTATTCTTGTTCTTTGCCCTTGATTCTTTTCTCTCTGTGTTATTTTGTAGTTTTCTGCCTGTTGTGTCTAGTCTTACTTTGTTTCCTCTCAGTGTTGATTGAAATTATCCCTTGTAACTCGTCCTGTGCCCCAGCTTTTTCCTGTGCATGGATTTTTTCCCAATATGGATTTTGTTTTTTTGTCTATTGGATCACTGCTTTTCTGTTGGTTTCTGGATTGTGGAGATACTTTGCATTTGGACTGCCTGATTTATTATTTATTTATAAATTAAAATATTTATATTTTTTTCACCATAGCTTTATTAAACGTTATGGACTGTACCTGCTCCGTCTTGGTGTCTGTATTTTGGGTCAGATCCCCTGTTTCATTGAGTTTACGCTTGGCAAAACACAACAAGATAGGGCTATCGTTTCAGTCTCAGTCTCATTTATTTTGGACAATTTCAGAAGAAACTTTGGTGTGTATAAAAGGATTACATTAAATAAAAAACAGGATGGAGATTTATTTTTCCAAATACATGGAGTCTTTTCATCGAGAAGCTTTTTGCATGTTGCTAATCCCAATATGAAGTTTTGAATCATACTTTGTACATTATGTGATGCTTAAAACCGAATATATCATGACTGTCTTACCCATGATAGTTAAACAGACCCAATGGTGGAAGGTAACTAAGCACATTTACTCAAGTACTGTATTTTGAGGCACTTTACTTTACTATATTTATTTTATTTACATTTATTTAAAATAATACAAATATAATAAAATAAATGTATTATTATGGGTTAAGAGACTTTATTGATCCCGGGAGGGATAATCACAAGCTACCCAGCATTAATGTGATGTAAACATTAATGCATCAATAATTATAATCCAATATAATTATTCAGAAAGGTGCCTTTCTGCATAATGAGTACTTTTACTTTTCACTTTAAAAAAATTCAGATGCATGTCTTTTACTTTACTTGACTTGGGAATTGTTGGGCTTCTGTAAATAACATCACAGAGTACGGTCTAGACCTGCTCTTTAATGAAAAGCACTGTGAGATAAATGTTGTTGTTAATTGGGCGCTATATAAATAAAATTGAATTGAATTGAATTGAACTTGTAGCAGAGTATTTTTACACAGTGGTATTACTGCTTTTATATACTTCGTAAAAGATCTGCGTACTTCTTCCACCACTGAACAGACCTTCTTTAACCCCCCTCCAAATTTTCTAATTCTCATAACATAACATAACATATTAACAGTTTATTTTATTACATCACACTATTGTATACCTCAGTAGCAAGTTAGTCTCCAGAGTATTAGAGTATGTGAGGTTGAGGGCCGTCTCATTATGTTTCAGGAAGCTCAGGAACTCTTTTGAATCGAGCTCAGAATCCCCGTTGTCATACGCCTGCAACACACAAACAGTTCAGTCAAACATGTCGTATTTTAAATATCTTCTTCAGTTATTCTTAAGTAGCTGGAGTACTGTTGGCTCATTACTTTATGCAAAATATGCACCTGATATCACACTTAAAAACAATATTTTTATTATATATTCGTATTTTTTGTTATTTGAAATTAAGCTCATGGTCAGTAAAACTAGTCTACTGGATAAAAACTGATGATTGTGAGAGGGAGTGAAAAGTTTTCTGACTTTGAAATACTTTTGCAGGAGGTCGTTGGCTGAGGACACATTTGAGGCCAGGTTGTCGATTCTACCTCCTCTTGAATCCACTGGATCACTCGTTCTCTGAGCCAGTCACGATCAGACAGGAAACACACGACTACACATTTAAAATAAGATGGTTAATGCAAATAAAATGGCAAAGGAAGGCTACAGTCCTTAAACTCATGAGTGTTAATACAAATTATTAACAGGAAAGGATTAATCAACAAAACATGTCTGTAATAATGCTGCAGACTTACTGGGGCTCATGTCTGTCTTTGTTGGCTTCTCTGCAAATAGAAACACACAGACCACTGTCTCAAATCACAGACTGTACACAACTTTAGCTGTTTGTACTTCAAAGGCAGAGAGCAGTAACTACAGAAGTGAAGTTGAGAACAAAAGGTTGGAAGTTTTTTTAGGTTGGATGGCAAACTTTAAAACAGATACAAAGATTCTTCCCCTCATTCTACCCAAACAACACCTAAAAAAACACAGAAACTTTAGCTTTATTATATTTTACATAGCTTTACGTATAGGAATCAAGTGTTTAGCTAAGTCTGAGTTATATCAATAGCCTATTTATATTATACATTAATTTACAATTTAATTCATTTAAGTATGTGATTTAAAGAATCACAACCAGAAAAATCACATGAAATTCACTAGTCAAAAAATGAGATAGGAGCTATCTGCTAAGCTAGCAAACTTTTTAAAAATTGATTTAGCTGCTGCCTTTTTAATTATGTGGAATAATAAACTGACTGACCAAAATGTCAGTTCATCAAAGTTTATATTTTTCCAATTACAAAAAACCTGGGGGGAAATAACTAACTAAACTTAGTTTTTGTAAGTTTAAGCCAAGGCTATCTCACAAACTAGCTTTCACTACAAAGGTAGCACTCTTATTGAAACTGTCTAGTAAGCTTTCTTTCTAAGGCCAAGAGTGCAGTAAAATGACACATTTCTATGGCATAATATTTCTAACTCTAACACAGATAAGCCAGATCAAGGTCGCGTGTGCACTGACCCGGACAGTGTCCTTTGTGCTCTGCATGTATCTTGGTCTGAGTGATGCAGGCGTCTCTGTGCAGCTCACAGTGGTTTATATAGGATCTGCCGTTACTGCCACACACCCAGTGCTCCGTCATGTTACACCGCTGCAGAGAAAAGAGGGGATCATCAGAGGTTTCCCAAAAAATGGCCTACACAACAAAACTTAAGGTGTGAAACTAGATTTATGAGAGCACAGTCTGATGTCCACTGCAGGGCCTAGTGATCGGTCAAAACATAATTTATTGATGAACAATGTATGTGTTTGTGGATGTAATAATT